AATAAAACATTAGAAGTTCTTTTTCTACCTAGCTGCACCTAATGTATTCATTAACGTTATCTTCATCTCTCTCTCTCTCTGCAATGCCCTTTCCAGGGCTCTGGTAACTATTCTGTTTTCTAAAAATGTTTTGGTTTAAATTCTGAGTTATTAGCAATCTATTTTTTTTTAAATTTTTCTAGATTCCTATTTTTTTTAAATTTGCAGAGCTACTTCATGTTAGTAAAACTTCACCACAGGGGGCATATAATGCTTATAAAGGCTTATTAAACTGTCTTAGAAAACTTATTTGTCAACATGGCTTCATTTTGACAGTTATAAGGACAGTTTTACTCAAATATATGCATTGTCATTTCTATAAAGACAAGTTACTGAAAATTTCCTTGAAATAAAATTTTCTAAGATATCTTAAAAAACAAAGAGATTACATTGCATGCTCTTTAAAACAACATTAAGATTGAGCATGAAGAAAATTTGGTCTTAAACGTTTACTTTTGTATAGGTCATTGCTACTTTGGGTTTATTCCTTAGCAAATATAAGCATGATTCTAGATGTTATCAGAGCATGTTACTGTATTTGAAAGTAAAATCGTGTCCAAAACAAGAGAAGACATGATTTAAAGAAATAAATCACTATAATCATGTATCACTTAATTTTAAAGGAATTTTCAAGTTAAATAGCTCATTTGTAGTTGAAGGTAGTAGCCATTAGTTTATCAGTGGAAACATTAAAAAAGGAGATTTTTGTTATTGGCAACAAAAATAAAAAAATAAAACTAGCTACCTTGTTTAGTTAGTAGACGACAATTTTGATCAGGTTGTTAGAGGCCAGTGGGTAGTTCATGTATGTATAAATTATCCCAAGGGTCTGCCATGAAATACGAAATCTATTATCTGGTAGGACCAACTTCATGAGTTACAAGTTTCTCCTTTGAGGTTTATTATGGTATTTCTTATTATTATGGTATTACTTAGCCACCTAAATAACAAGTTTTCTTGAATGGAAAGTGGATTTCTTGCTGGTCTACAGTTACTCACACTTTTTTAAATTTAAAAACTATTTGGCCTAAAGTTTCTGAGTTAAAATATTCATGAGAGGGCTATAATTTGTATGTCTTGTTGCCACATTACCAGTGGTCATACATGATTGTCCCATGTGGTGGCTTGTACCACTGATTATACAAGTGAAACAGTCATGCATGCCATCACTGGTTTAAGCCGGCAGAAATGTCTTAAACTTGTAAATTAGATAAAGACCCTGCTGTGGTGAGGGATGAAAAGAAAGAGCAATTATTTGTCCAACATACCTCTTTGCCACCTCTATATGAAAGAATTATTCCACCATAATTTAAAAATCACTATATGGCAATTCATCATAAAGTCTTAATGATATCAGAATACCAGTGGAGAGATTGCCTGACAGAAGTGTTAGAAGGACTTGGCTATAATTGTCTTACCTGGCAGTGAATTGTGAAAACCTTAAGTCATAGGAAACTGCCTTGTTTTTTAATTTAAACTTTAATAATCATGATTCAGAGATTGTCACTGTCAAGTTAATGATGATGTATTAAAGCTTTACTATTAAAATTTAACCTACATGTAATGAGAGCTTTATCCCTTAGATTAAAAGTTTCCCAGTTTTTAGCGACCAGTGACAGGATGATGGCTTCCTACCTCTACTTACCTCCTTAACCCCCTTTCTGAAACTCTTAGATTTCAAAATACATTTTTATTTTTATTTCTACATTTTTGTTTGTTTTGAGACAAGGTCTCACTGTGTGGTCTTGAACTCACTATGTGTAGCCCATTGCTGGCCTCAAACTCATAGTGATCCTCTTGTCTCAGCCTCCTGAGTGCTGGGATTACAGGCATGTGCCACTGTGCCCAGCTTTATTTCTGTTTTTATCTTTCTATATAAGCTGTAGAGTATATGTATATCTCGGTGTTTGGGGGTTATGTTATAGAGGAAAAGTCAGTGTCTTGTACCCAGAACCTTACACATGCCAGGCAAGTGTTCCACCACTCAGTTGTAGCCCAACTATAAGTCTTAACTTTAAATGGGTAAGTGTATTGTATTCGGATAAACATATTTAAGAAATTTTAGTAAAGATGTGACTGTTAATGTATGGTTAAGAACTATGTGTTAGTTGAAAATATTCTATTACACTCATCCTTACTACAGTTTTTTATTTTTCTTTTAATCAGTTTATGTCTCTTAACCAGGTTGTGTCTCTTACATGGAAGGCAAGGAAGGGATAATCTTGAACATCTTTGAATTATGTCTAATTTTCAGAATAGCTGTTTAATAAAGCCTTCAGTTTTATTTTAATTCAAGTATTGTTTAAAGTACAATTTCTGCAATCACTAGATTACTTTTGATGTACATTTTAAAGTATATCTATAGCTGTTGTTTTTCAAGTAAAAATAAATGTATTTTCAGTTTTTTTCTTAATTGCTAACTATGAAATCATTACGCTGTATTCATAAACTAATTTCTGTCTTTACCATTGGGTGTAACATTGTTACCCATTAATACCCTGTGCTTTGTTTTCTATAAATAATCTGGAAATAAAGCATTTCTATTGAACTTTTGCATAGTTTTAGATAAAGAATGTTTAACTTGATGCTGGGTAAAAATACTCAAGTTTTGTGAGATTGGGTTTTTAAAATTTTTTATTGAATTAACAAAAGGTAATAGAATTGGGTGAATTACCTCAGTTCCTTTATTTCTCGGTCTTGTATATACTTCTGCCACATTTATTTATTTATATATATATGTTATAAATCTAATCACATCATTTCTCATACATCATAAATAGCTTCTTATGATTCCAAGAATCAAAGTAAATGGAACTAATTGTTAATAGGCCCCTTTTGTTTGCTTTAGGTCCTTTTTTATTTTCTAGTTTGAGGTATCATCTCATTAAGTTCTTTTTTGCCTCAGCTGGGCTCACCCTACCCTCCTGCCTCAACCTCCCAGAGTTCTGGGATTACAGGTACATGCCCCAATCCTTCACTATCAGTTCACATTGTAAAAATTTAGTTTTTGAATTTGTATAAATTTTTTGGCTTATTATAATTTAGTTGAGCCTGATAGAAGAAATTTCTAGAATAAAATATAAACCTGCAGTTTTATTTTTAAAATTATTTTTATTTTACCAGAAATATGTCAAGAATTTTAAATTGGAAGAATGATTTCTCATCATCCTTAGTACAATGTATAGCAAGTACAGTTCAAGGGATGATTAAAATACATGATTTGATCAAAATTCAAATAAATATTTGAATTTTAAAAATTTATAGTGAAAGACACTTTGCCATTGATTCTAAGTACAGGTAAGTATTACCCCATTGTTCTTGCCACTTTCTGAAACAGTTTAGATGTCCCTTTTTATGAGTGTCTTTATGACGTGATAAAAAATAGCAAATGTTGTAGCTGACTGCTATCCCGTGGAAAGGCAGTCTTCTAAAAACCTTATAGTGTATCCTCATCCACTTTATTAATGGAATCTGACATTGTAGGACTTAAGGCTCTTCCCTAAAGTCAAAATGACCATGAAAGCTAAACATTTTTAATTGATTAAGCACATCTGGGCAACCATGACTATGCAATTAGCACATGAAAGAAGACTTCCAGAAATGCCTCTAAAAGTGGTTAGAATGATGGGGTAAGTGTGTTTGAAGCAAGGGGTTGGCATTTTGAGGAGTACTAATGGACATGTATCTTTCACTGTAATACATGAAAAAATGTTTGTAATGTTCACCATGTTTTTGATTATATCATGTATCTCCTATAATCATATAATTTCCTGGCAGCTGAGGTCAGGAAGCAGCTATTTGGGAAAGAGGACTAATATAATCTTCGCATAATTTTTTTTGTGTTCTTTATAATCTTTTACTTTGTCTGGATTGTAGATAAAAGATTGCCTCAAATGTATAATCTTAAAATTGTTTAGCTTGTTGCTACTCAAAAAATGTGGTCCTTGAGTTGTAACTACTCTGTGAGAAAATCTAGAAATGAAGAACATTTAGAAACAATTTGGCAGTAATTTCATGTCTCTTGAATCTAATGAAAATTGGGGGCTAATGACTTGGGGGCTGGGGATTTAGCTCAGCAGCATAAGCGCCTGCCTTGCAAGCACAGTCATGAGTACCAACCCCAGTACCAAACAAAACAAAACAAAACAAAACCCAGAAAATTAAGACTTGGGTTTTTAAAAAATTTCATTTATTGTATTTTCCAGTTGATCTTACCAGATCAGTCTTTCACATTAGGAAGTATGAGAAGCACTTATACACTTAATTGCTGTCACTATTAATATAAAATATATCTTTTCTGGTGCTGAGAATTGAATGCAGGATAGTAAGAATATCCTGTACTACTAAGCTATATTCCCAGCCTCCACCCATTTGTTTGTATTTCCATGTTTAAGTATTTGAATATTATTAATTGAGGTCATGTAAAGTTTGATAGATTCCTCAGGAAGATACAACTCACTGAAAACATTTTTAAATTCTAAAATCTTGTCAGCTTTATATAAAATTCAGTTTTAGAGAATATGTTCTATGGATATCTGTAATAGAAAGCATAGTAAGTAGTTTTGTATTTCTTAAAAGTTGTGAGGGAGTTGCTAAAGCAATCAGTCTATTAATTATCCTAGTGTAACCTCAGTAAAGGCAGGAATATTAAGAGAGCAGAAAATTAGTTGTTTCCTTAAATCCATAGGAATTAGAAGCAATAATGCACATTTGGCTAAGAAGGGTTTATTTTAAAATTCTGAAATACATTAGATTTTGTGTTTAATTATTTATTAGGTTTGCATTAAATTTGAGATCTTGCATCTATTCCAGCAAACCAGACTTTATGTGGTAATTTCTTGAAACATACAACATTATTATTAGGATTATTAACCTGAGTGTGCTTTGTTATGAATATTTTTACTATAATTCATTATGTACAGTACATTATTAAGATTTATCTTTTTCCCTTCTCTTTCTAGGAAGATGATCCATATGATCTTGAGGATCTGTCTGCGCAGAAATGAGGGATATACAAAGAACCAAACAGACTTCTGAAATTTGGGATCTGTGTTTTAAGGTTTTATTTTCAGAATGAGAAATATATATGGTTATCTTTATGAATGTAGAGACATGACAAGAGAGTTATGATGGCAAAAAACAAAGAACCTCGTCCCCCATCCTATACTATCAGTGTAGTTGGACTCTCTGGGACTGAAAAGGACAAAGGTAACTGTGGAGTTGGAAAATCTTGTTTGTGCAATAGATTTGTACGCTCAAAAGCAGATGAATATTATCCAGAACATACTTCTGTGCTTAGCACCATTGACTTTGGAGGACGAGTAGTAAACAATGATCATTTTTTATACTGGGGTGACATAACACAAAATGGTGAAGATGGAGTAGAATGCAAAATTCATGTCATTGAACAAACAGAGTTCATTGATGACCAGACTTTCTTGCCTCATCGGAGTACGAATTTGCAACCATATATAAAACGTGCAGCTGCCTCTAAGTTGCAGTCAGCAGAAAAACTAATGTACATTTGCACTGATCAGCTAGGTTTAGAGCAAGACTTTGAGCAGAAGCAAATGCCTGAGGGAAAGCTGAATGTAGATGGGTTTTTATTGTGCATTGATGTAAGTCAGGGATGTAATAGGAAATTTGATGATCAACTTAAATTTGTGAATAACCTTTTTGTTCAGCTATCAAAATCAAAAAAACCTGTAATAATAGCAGCAACTAAATGTGATGAATGTGTGGATCATTATCTTAGAGAAGTTCAGGCATTTGCTTCAAACAAAAAGAACCTTCTTGTAGTGGAAACATCAGCACGATTTAATGTCAACATTGAGACATGTTTCACTGCGCTGGTACAAATGTTGGATAAAACCCGTGGCAAGCCTAAAATTATTCCCTATCTGGATGCTTATAAAACACAGAGACAACTTGTTGTTACAGCAACAGATAAGTTTGAAAAACTCGTACAGACTGTGAGAGATTATCATGCAACGTGGAAAACTGTTAGTAATAAATTAAAAAATCATCCTGATTATGAAGAATACATCAATTTGGAGGGAACAAGAAAAGCCAGAAATACATTCTCCAAACATATAGAACAACTTAAACAGGAACATATAAGAAAAAGGAGAGAGGAATATATAAGTACATTACCAAGAGCTTTTAACACTCTTTTGCCAAATCTTGAAGAGATTGAACATTTGAATTGGTCAGAAGCTTTGAAGTTAATGGAGAAGAGAACAGATTTCCAGTTATGTTTTGTGGTGCTAGAAAAAACACCTTGGGATGAAACTGACCATATAGACAAAATTCATGATAGACGGATCCCATTTGACCTCCTGAGCACTTTAGAAGCTGAAAAAGTCTATCAAAACCACGTACAACATCTAATATCAGAAAAAAGAAGAGTAGAAATGAAAGAAAAATTCAAAAAAACTTTGGAAAAGATTCAGTTCATTTCACCTGGGCAACCATGGGAGGAAGTTATATGCTTTGTTATGGAAGATGAAGCCTTCAAATATATCACAGAGGCAGATAGTAAAGAGGTATATAGTAGGCATCAGCGAGAGATAGTTGAAAAAGCCAAAGAAGAGTTTCAGGAAATGCTTTTTGAGCATTCTGAACTTTTTTATGATTTAGATCTCAATGCAACACCAAGTTCAGATAAAATGAGTGAGATTCATACAGTTCTAAGTGAAGAACCTAGATACAAAGCTTTACAGAAACTTGCACCTGATAGAGAGTCTCTTCTACTTAAACATATAGGATTTGTTTATCATCCCACTAAAGAAACATGCCTTAGTGGCCAAAATTGTACAGACATTAAAGTGGAGCAATTACTTGCAAGTAGTCTTTTGCATTTGGATCATAGTCGCTTACGGTTGTATCATGATAGTTCAAATATAGATAAAGTTAACCTCTTCATTTTAGGGAAAGATGGCCTTGCCCAAGAACTAGCAAATGAGATAAGGACACAATCTACTGATGATGAATATGCCTTAGATGGAAAAATTTATGAACTTGATCTTCGGCCTGTTGATGCCAAATCGCCTTACATTTTGAGTCAGTTATGGACTGCCGCATTTAAACCACATGGGTGCTTCTGTGTATTCAATTCCATTGAGTCATTGAGTTTTATTGGGGAATTTATTGGAAAAGTAAGAACAGAAGCTTCTCAGATCAGAAAAGATAAGTATATGGCTAATCTTCCATTTACATTAATTTTGGCTAACCAGAGAGATTCCATTAGTAAGAATCTACCAATTCTCAGGCACCAAGGGCAGCAGTTGGCAAACAAGTTACAGTGTCCTTTTGTAGATGTACCTACCAGTACATATCCTCGTAAATTTAATGAATCCCAAATAAAGCAAGCTCTGAGAGGTGTATTGGAATCAGTTAAACACAATTTAGATGTTGTGAGTCCAGTTCCCACCAATAAGGATGTATTGGAAGCAGACTTAAGAATTATCATGTGTGCCATGTGTGGTGATCCATTTAGGGTGGATCTTATTCTTTCACCCTTCCTCGATTCTCATTCTTGCAGTGCTGCCCAAGCTGGGCAGAATAATTCCCTAATGCTTGACAAAATTATTGGTGAAAAAAGGAGGCGAATACAGATTACAATATTATCCTATCACTCTTCAATTGGAGTAAGGAAGGATGAACTGGTTCATGGATATATTTTAGTTTACTCTGCCAAACGGAAAGCGTCAATGGGAATGCTTCGAGCTTTTCTGTCAGAAGTTCAAGACACCATTCCTGTGCAACTGGTGGCAGTTACTGACAGCCAAGCAGATTTTTTTGAAAATGAGGCTATCAAAGAATTAATGACTGAAGGAGAACACATTGCAACTGAAATCACTGCTAAATTTACAGCACTATATTCTCTATCTCAATATCATCGGCAAACTGAGGTCTTTACTCTGTTTTTTAGTGATGTTCTTGAGAAAAAAAATATGATCGAAAATTCCTATTTGTCTGATAATACAAGGGAATTAACCCACCAAAGTGAAGATGTTTTCCTACCATCTCCCAGAGATTGTTTTCCTTATAATAATTACCCTGATTCAGATGATGATACAGAAGCACCACCTCCTTATAGTCCAATTGGTGATGATGTACAGTTGCTTCCAACATCCAGTGACCGTTCCAAGACCAGATTAGACTTGGAAGGAAATGAATATCCTGTTCATAGCACCCCAAACTGTCATGATCATGAACGCAACCATAAAGTGCCTCCACCTATTAAACCTAAACCGGTTGTACCTAAGACAAATGTGAAAAAACTAGATCCAAACCTTTTAAAAACAATTGAAGCTGGTATTGGTAAAAATCCAAGAAAACAGACTTCCCGGGTACCTTTAGCACATCCTGAAGATGTGGATTCTTCAGATAACTATGCGGAACCCATTGACACAATTTTCAAACAGAAGGGCTATTCTGATGAGATTTATGTTGTTCCAGATGATAGTCAGAATCGAATTATTAAAATTCGAAACTCTTTTGTAAATACGCAAGGAGATGAAGAAAATGGATTTTCTGATAGATCCTCAAAAAGTCACGGAGAACGGAGGCCTTCAAAATACAAATATAAATCTAAAACCTTGTTTAGTAAAGCCAAGTCATACTATAGAAGAACACACTCAGATGCAAGTGATGATGAAGCTTTCACTGCTTCTATAATAAGAAAAGGAAGACATCGTGGTAGTGAAGAAGATCCACTTCTTTCTCCTGTTGAAACATGGAAAGGTGGTATTGATAATCCTGCAATCACTTCAGATCAAGAAGTAGATGATAAGAAGACGAAGAAGAAGCCCCACAAAGTAAAAGAAGATAAAAAGGTAAGTTTAATTGGTGGTAAGTGATGTTGATAAAGATGCATATATTTGCAATGAATGAACTTTTCAAGATAATTGGAATTTAAGATTATTTTTAATTTTTTAACTTTTCAGTATTTTGTGGAGCAGAGCTTCTTATTACATTGTATTTGGGTGTAATGTTTGACGCCATAAAATTGTAGTTGAATATGTTCTGCTTTCTATAGAATCCCAGATAAGAAGTGATTTTTATTTTATTGCCTGTTTGGAGTCCTGTTTGTTCCATTCTTACCTATCAGTTCTAGAATATTAATTTGGTAGTACCTAATTCACTCAGGGATATTAATAGATCAAATTGGGGCTGGGGATTTAGATCAGCAGCATAAGCACCTGCCTTGCAAGCAGGTGGTCGTGAGTTCGATCCCGGTACCGATAAAAATGAAAAAGACAAAAAAAAAAAAGATCAAATTGTAAAAGTAAGTTTTCAAAGTTTTTGGCAGTTTTATACTGCTTGAAATCATACAGAAAAGTTGTTGAAATTTAAATTGTAGAATTCTGACCAAATAGCAAGTTTTGGTTTTTTACATCTTCAATAGATTTTAATTTATCTGATACTGTTAGGTATTAGAAACCTAAATACAGTATATGGTTAAAAGTTTTATATAATAACATTTATTTATTTTAAAAATATTTTTGGTACTGAGAGTCGAACTCGGGATCTTGCTTTTGCCAGGCAGGTGCTGCATCACTGAGCTATATCCCCAGCCCTATAACTTTTATTTTTTTCATGATAGTATTTCAGTATTTTCTATAAATATTTGGTACTGTATTTCACATAGACTTTTCAGGATTTTATAGTCTATTTTTAATAGGCTTTCTTGTAATATATTGACCTTTTCATCATTTAAGTCCATTGTTTTATGAATTTTAAATATTGCAGCTGATTGCTGATCCAAGTAAAAACAGGCATATTTTGAGTAACCTTAGTATGGATAGTTTCCCCACATACAGCAGTTGTCCCATTATTGTACAGCTTCCCCATTACAGTTGGATAGTTTACATTTTATTTTCTAACTTTAAGCTGCAGAATTTTCTTATTTTATCATTAACTTATTTTTGACCAAATATGTAATCTCTGATTAAGACATCTTGACACATACACATACTCTTATCTCATGGCACATGCTACTAACAGTAAATATATTTGACATCTCTCATGTTCAACCTTTTTTCACTAGTCCCATCTGCATATTTTGCCACAGACCAAATAATCTTCAATTTTCTATCTTTATTTGCATATACGGTTGAGCATCTCTAATCTGTAATGCTCCAAAATCCACAGTGTTTTGATCCTCAGCATGACAGGTATCAAGCAAATTTGTGTTTAGGCATGGGTCTCATTCTTAAGATAGTCTTATGATATATGTGTAAATACTACAAAATGGAAAATTCCTTGGGTCTCTCTTGGGCTTAGTGTGTAACATCTATTCATGGTAGTTTTCCTTTCATGTATTAATAGAATGTCTGGACTGCAGTGTAGTTTAGTTTGTCTAAAATTTCTTTTCATAGTACTGTAAAAGCTAGAGTTTAGTAATTGAAGTTGTCTTACATTTCAGAAAGCTATTGAAAGATATAGAAATTTGAAGAGGTGAAATGTTAGTCTGTGGTTGGCACAGGGTTAAGAAAGGAAGCATGGTGTGATGTTTATGAGCACAAATTATAGACCAGACTTTTAGGGTTTGAATCCAGGCTCAGTGAAATATATGACTGTACTTTCATATAGAAAAATGGAGATAATCATTATTTTTAGATCTGCTATGAGAAATACTGTCTTGTTTAGAGCATTGCCTAGAACATGTAAATTTGTTAAGTAAAAATTAGGCATATTTTATGATGCGACCAAATAATATTATTTTAAAGGAACTGGTGCTAGAAAGAAATCATAAGAGTTTGGTGTTAGTTTCACAAAAACTTGATGAAAAGTAATCAGTTTCTAGTATTTTTTTGATTTTTAAGAGAAGATATTTTAGGTGGGGAAAATCAGTTGTACATCAGCATAAAACTGACTGAGCAAGGTAAAGTATAATAAGGAAACTTGCAATCATGTAACTGAAACAGTATTACATTTGTAATGGTCTTTCCTTAATCAAAGAGCTAGTTTGAAGCTAAAACTAGCTAAGCAGAGTCTGAGCCATAAGGAAAGTTATGTTGAAATTCAGTTTGCAGTTGGGGAATTTATAAACATCAAATAATCTAGTTAGAGGCAGATGTAGACATTCAAATATAAGATGATAGAGGTTTAGAGACCACATGAGAAATCAACTAAACTAAAAGCTATGTCTTTGAAAACTCTTTAAAAAGTTTTGAGGAAAGAAGACATGAACAAACACAGAGTCAGGTGTGGTGGTGGTATATATCTGCAGTCTCGGCAGCTCAAGAGGCTGGGGCAGGAATATTAAATGTTCAAAGGTATTAGTGAAACCCTGTCTCATAGTGGAAAGGGCTGGAGATATGTAGCTTAGGGTGAGAGCCCTGAGTTCAATCCCTCGTTCACCCCTGCTGCACACATACTACGAAGAGAACATAATTAGAGATAAATCAGATTAAAAGATAGTAGAGAATACTATCAGTAATTTAAGCCCATAAATTAGAGAGTTTAAGCAAAGTAAACTGTTAGAAAAATACATAAGATGTGATAAAAATAAAGTGCAATTGAAAAATATAATGAATGATTACATTTTAAAAAACTTATTACAGGGCCAGGAATTTAGCTCAGTGGCTCAAGCACTTGCCTGGTAAGCATGAGGTTGTGAGTTCGACTCCTGGTATCAGAAAAAACTATTATAGTAAAAGACACAATGCCTATAATCCCCTCAGAATACTCCTCTTTTCTTGGAACACACTTATTTCAACTTAACACTTTCTGAAGAAGTTCTGAAAGTCCTCTTTCATCAATAAGATGAATGAGGACATAACGTAATAAAATGCATTGCTCACAATCTATGATTCATAGTGCTTTAAAACACATCTTCTCTCATCTATAAGTTAAAGCTTGTTTTTCTGTTGGGTGGCACTCAGCAGAAACATTCACTGTACTTTTTTTTTTTTAATTTTATTTAAGGAGAAAAAGAAAAAACAGAAAAAGGGTACGAGTTATACAGAACTTCAGAAAAAATAAACAGTAGGAAATCACTAGTTGATAGATTACATATTGTCATCTTAGAAATAGTTCACGTTACAAAATTAAAGCATATAAAGTGGACAGTGAGACTGCAAACAGTTCTGTTCAGTGATCCAACAAAACTCAGTAATACGGTTATCTATCTTATACACTTAAATATACATGCAGTTATATCCTTTAGAGCACTTTCTTTTCTTCTCTTTTGTATAATGACAATTATACATTTCGGGTTATATTACTCCCACAGTTCTTATTACTTTTTTTGAAGAGAGTAAAATCAAATGTGACAGAACAAAACAGAGTCAGTCAAATCAAAAGGATGGACATAATACATAATGTAAAAACAAAATACAAGGTGATCAACAATGGTTACTATAATGCCTCTTGCTATCTTAAAAAGAATTGCCTATATCATCAGTTATAATAAAATTGAACAAAACAGTAAAGAACAAAACCAATAAAACAAAAACATTGGAGACATTACAGGACTTTAAAAGAAGATAATAGTCAACCAGAATGGGCATCATAATGAATCTTACTGTCTTCATAGTTGTTGCCTATACTTTCAAACTTGGTACTATCAAGCAAAACAGAATAGAGGAAAATCAGTCAAAACAAGATAGTGAGAGTAATACAGAGTTTCAAATCAAGTTAATAGGAAATCAAAGTGGGTTACTATATATCCTGCTATTTTTTGTTTATTTTCCCCTTAATTAAAAAGATAAAAATAAAAAAATAATAAAAAAGGAGATTGAGATAAAAGAGGGCATAAAAACAAAACGGTGCAGGTCAAAACATAACCATTTAAGCAAAATAGTATTTCACCATAAGATATCCCGACATAAAAGTAGTTACCATAGTGTCTCTTTCCTTGAAATCTTTGAGTGTAACTTTGTGTACTGTAGCATCAAACATATCAAGACAATGTAAAACCATTCAAGAGAATGACAGGATTACAGGGTATTTAGAATCAACTAACAGAAAATGAACAATGGTTTCTGTATAATCTCCTTGTCTATAAAAGTTTTTGTTTATATTATCACATATAATAAAATCCAGTAAGATACAACATGTTAAAACCGATGAAGACAGAAGAGCAAAAGCTTGATGGGACTTCAAAACAAGATGATACTAAAGCAGCACTATCTATTATGATGTCTTGTTTTCTCCAAAATAGCTGTTTATACCATCCAACCTTCTCTGCCTCATTTCTGTTGAGCTCTTTTTCTGTCGTTAGTTGTCAGTTTGTCTTCTTCATTTTACTTTCTGCTCCATTCATTGTGGCCTCTCTACCACTATTTCTGGAATCTTGGTATTTTTCTTTTTTAGAATATCCTGCAGTATTCTCTGTAGAGTTGAATTGGTGGTTGCAAATTCCCCTAGTTCCTCTTTATCCTGGAAGCACCTTGTTTTTCCATCAATTTCCAGGGACAGTTGTGTAGGATATATCAATCTTGGCTGGAAGTTATTATCTTTCAAAGCTTGAATTATTTCCCCCCACACTCTTCGCGAGAAGTCTGCTGTAATTCTGATGGGTGTTCCCTTGTAAGTGATCTTTTCTTGTCTCTGATGGCTTTTAATATTCTGTTCTTATATTGGCTTTCTGGAATTTTGATTATTATATGCCTGGGCGTAGCTCTGTTTGGGTTGTAGGTGGCTAGGGTCCTATATGCCTCATAGATCTGAGTATCTTTACCTTTTGCTAAATTAGGGAAATTCTCCTGGATTATTTCTGTGAATAGCTTTTGTAGCTCATTTGTTTGTGTCCCTACTTCTTTTATGTTCTTAATTCTTAAGTTATAGATCCTCTTATCTTCTAGCCTTTGTATTATTGCTGTTTGTT